GCAGCCATGACCCCAGCATTTGCCAACTGGTTTCACATCTAGCTTGAGGAACAAGAGGAGTGAGCAGACAAGTTGGTCTCCAATAACTCAGACAAGTGGTCACAGGACTTTTTTTGGCACCCGTCTAGTTTCCCAGCCAAGTGGCTGTGTCTAGAGACACAGATGTTCCCACAGAGGGAATCGTCCTGAGTGTGGACTTCCACTGGGTTCCTATCGGCAGCACCATTTCCTCCCACTTCCTGTGGCCGCCCTCACTGGCCTCACTCACCTCCTCATACTTGCGGTCAGCCTCCTCGGCAATGTGTTTGGCCTCTTTGAGCTGCATCTCCTGGATCTCCATCTTCTCCTCGTCTTTCATGGCTCGGTTCTCTATTACCTTCATGCCTCTGCAAATGGGGTGGGGTGTCAGAGCCAGGTCCTCAAATGCCTCCACCCGACACCCAGACAAGGATGAAGACCTACTATCAACTTCCATATTCATTCCATTGAGAAGCCACCTAGTGCTGGGACTGAACCCAGATCCTCTACAAGAGCAGCCGGTGTTCGTAACTGCAGAGTCATCTCTCCAGCTCATGGTATCTTTTTGAGCCAGGTCTCTCACTGAACCTAGAGTCTGCTGCTCTCTGTAGACTGGGTGGCCATGGAACCCCAGGATCCTTCAGGCTTTTCCTCCCCAGTGTCAGGATTACAGGCACACACACACCCATGTGCAGCTTTTGTGTGAGGATGGGGACACTAACTCGGGGTCTCAGGTTTGGGCAGCAAGCACTTAACCCAGAACAACCTCCCCAGACTCACATTCATTCATTCATTCATTTTTTGAGCCAGGGTCTCACATAGCCCAGACTGACTTCAAAGTCACTGTGCAGTCAAGGATGGCTTTCAATTCCTGATCCCCCTGCCTCGACCTCCTCAGTGCTAGGGTAATGGACTTGCATCATTACACCTGGCTTATGTGGTACTGAGGATTGAACCAGCTTTGTGCAAGCATTCTTATCAACTGAGCTCCAATCCTACCCCCCAACACTCCTTTTATAGCTCTTAGAAGACAGGGTTTGCTACTTAGCCTGGGCTACACCTGCCTCAGCTTTGGGAAACACTAGAATGACAGGCATACATCATCACCATGTCTGGTGGACTTCTAGACACTAGTAAATAAATACCCTATCTTTCACAATCACACCATGTGGTGGGTATACTATCCCCACTTTGCAGTTTAAAGAAACTGAGGCAAAGAAAGGTTTATGAAGCTGCTAAGCAGCAGAGCTGGTCCGGCTCCTCAGGGTGCACCCCTATTTCTTCTTCCTCTCACTGAAGACAAGTTTGAGCATCAGCAGTCACTATGGAATGACACCTGCGGGAATGTTGAGGAGCAGGTGTAGTCGGAACTGAGAGCCACCGATGGCTTTCTAGAGCCCTTATCTGCACGAGACTTAGCTAAGGGTAAGGAGAGAACTGGAGGAGCCTGGCAGGTGAGTGGCCCATGTCTGTTGTCTCATCACTTGGGAGACTGAGACAGGCCTTTGAGTTCTGGGCAAACCTGGCTCTATAGCATGATCTTGTTTCAATAAAACAAAAGCTAAAAACAAAAAACAAAACCAAAACAAAACAAAAAGCAGACAGTAAAGCCAGAGCAGCACTGTTAGTTCCAGCCCTTGAGGCAGAGGCAAGGGGCCTGTGAGCTCCAGGTCATCTAGGGTTAGACAGTGAGACTTTGTGTAGAACAAAAAGAGACAACTTCCAAACCAACTAAATAACCAACCAGAAAAACAAAACAAAAACCAAAAGCACACAGAGGCACAGAACTGAAAGAACGTGTCCGTGCCTGGGATGGGCGGAATGTTTATGCTGGGATGGAAGGGAATTACCGGAAGCTTCCAGAGCCAGGGCTGAATGGAAACAAAATGGACAAGCTGCACTACAAAGAGTACGGGGAAGGCAAGCACAACCTGCACAGCCCAAAGTGCTCAAAAATAAACCATGTACGTCCATGCCTGGATTTCAAAATAAACTTTTTTTGCGGGGGGAACGGTAATAGAACTCAGTGCTATGTGAATCCAAAGCAAGAGTTCTCCACTAAGGCCCACCCACAACCTGAACCTTTGAGTGCAGTTATAGCACAGATGGAAAACTCCTCACGCACCAGGCTGCTGTTAGGAGGGGTGAGCAGTAGAAATGCATGAAATGACCCTGGTCCCTGGGTAGAAGGGACTTAGGGTGCTCATGGACTTCCTGTTTGGACTTGGATCCCCACCACTTAAAATATCTCATTATGCATATGCAAATATCCAAATCTAGAAACAACCAAATTCCTAAGTACTTCCTGCCCCAAGCATTTCAGATAAAGGACACTTCTGTACACCCAGGTCAGAAAGGAGGATGTCCTAGGGCAGTCAGAACTCAGCTGGGGTGGAACAGAGAGAGAGATCGCCGGTGGGTCAAAGCCTCCACACAAGCATGAGACCTTGTCCTGCTCCCCACATGAAAACCACTGCCAAGAAGATGGGGACAGTATCCCTGGAGCTTACTGACCAGATGTACGGCTCATTGGGAGATCCTGCCTCAAAAAACGAGGAGAGCCAGCCAGAGAGATAGCTCAGGGAGGTAGCACTTGTCACCACCAGTACTGCAAGACGTTCCAACCTCCACATATCTTCTGTGGCACACACAAGCGAAATATAATCAACTGGGAAAAAAAGGCCAGGTGTGGTGGGGCATGGAGCATGCCTTTTGATCCCAGCACCGAGGAGGCCGAGGAACATGGATCTCTGTGAGTTCTAGACCAGCCTGGTCTACATAGTGAGTCCCAGGACAGGCTGGACTCCCCACCGCCACACACACCAAACAACCAGATGGAAGCCGGGCACAAGGCTTGGTGATACACATTATTAAAATCTGGAATATGATAAAACACTGGATTTATTTTTTATTATAATTTTACATTTATTTGTGTGTGAGTGCATGTGCCCCAGCATAAGTGTGAAAGTTGGAAAATACCTGCAGGGGTTGGTTCTCCTCCACATTGTGGATCCCAAGCACTAAATGAACTCAGGATGTCACACTTGGCAGCAAGTGCCTTTACCCACTGGGCAATCTCACTGGCCTATTGTTTTTGGGTTTTATTATTATTTTATTTATTATTTTGGTATTTATTATTATCATTTTTTTCGAAGCAGGGTTTCTCTGTGTAGCTATGGAGTCTGTCCTGGAACTCACTCTGTAGACCAGGCTGTTCTCAAACTCAGAGATCCGCCTGCCTCTGCCTCCCGTGTGCTGGGATTAAAGGTGTGAGCTACCACTGCCCAGCTTTATTTTATTATTTTTAATTATGTGTGTGTATGAGTGCAGGTGCCCACAGAGGTCGGAGGTACTGTGTTTGCTGGAGTTGAAGTCATAGACTTGTGAGCTGCCCAGATGGGCGCTGTGTGTGTTCAAGGGTGTGCACATGGCATGGCACAGATGTGGAGGGCAGAGCATGGCACAGATGTGGAGGGC